CCAGGCCTGAGCTGTGCCTGGAGGGAGCAAGGTAAAGTAGGGGGAAGAAGAAGCTCTCCCATACACTCACTGGACCTAGGCTAAGACTGGGTCCGGGGGTTCCCAGAACACTGCAATATTCCTACTCGGCAGGCGGTGTGGGGAGGTGCTGCGGAGTGATGGGGGCGGCCCGAGGGGCTGGGAGAGGGTCCGGCCCACGCTGCGCCTGGGCTGTGACTGGTCCCACTGGCGCAGGGTAGCAGGAAGCTCTCCACACACTCACCGGACCCGAGCTAGGACTGGATCTCTAGATAGTTTTTTTCATAGCACTTGCTTGGCTAAGTTCAATGAAAAACTAAAAAAGTAAGTATGAAACAAACATAAGCCAAGCTTCTCCAACATCACACTCTCTTCAAAACTAATACTTAGTTCATCAAGTCCTTTTTAAAAGATTAACATTTCTCAGGAGAGTGTATCACTGTGTTAAGCAGGACCTTGTTCATTTTTTACAAGGACGCTTGTAAAAAGTGGTACCCACTCTTTCTCATTATCCTCACTAATCATTTAAGATCTGATTTCTTCAGTGTGACAATTCATCATAGATTAAATTCTTGAAGGTCAAGTTTTTTTTTCTTAGTATGAACTTTGTAGTCTCATACAAAGACCCTCTAAGGTCTTCTGTGAGGCAGGAAGTAGACAGGCTTAACAAGTTACTTGGTATAAGCGGGTTAAATGTGCATATGCTCAGGAATACAGAGGGTAAACTTGAAGCTTTTATAGGTCAATGGATGCAACTTGATACAATGCTTATAAGTGAAATAAATCAGACTCACATGTGTAAATATCATATTGTCCCCCTAGTATAAAAAAGAGAAAGAATAAATAAGAAAAAAAAAGGTGCATATCACACTGACAGCTCAAGGAGGACTCCCCTGATTGGAACAGAAAAGCAAGACCCTGACCTGCACTTCCAAACAGTCTATTGGAAATCCTGATAACCTCACTAAGTCACAGTAGCATTTTCATGACTCCAACTCTGTGGAGATTATCTGCCGCACAGCCTGTATTTTACCTTCTTCTGGCTTACTAGAAAGGCCAAACAAACCAATTTACCTTTTAAACTATGACTGTCAGAGGATTTATATTCTCAAGGAGCAGAGGCATTATGGTAATGAAAGAGAGGCAGCATCCTCTTCTCTGGGAACTTTATTTCTCTTTAGTGATGACAGTTTTATAGTCTTATAGTGAAAATTTATGGAGGGTACCTTTACAAAATTGACAGTCTTTTGAGATATTTCCAAGGCTGATGGCATAGGAGAAAGAAAGCATATTATGGAATGGAAGCTGAATAAAACTCAAAAGTGAGAAATGAGACGCTATTACTAAGAGAAAATTCTCTTCTTCCTCCTTAATCATCTTTGCATCCTCAAATGTCATTCACTGTACTTCTTCATCTCACCATAATGTGCAGGTTGTTCTTTTTGTGGTAAAGCCTTTTCTGTTGGACATACTTTCCTGAGAAATTCTCAGTATTAGTGGGCTCTGAGATGCCTCTTTCCCACTCTGTGTGGACATAGGGCCAGCACACCACTTAATACTGTTGCAAGTCAAACCTGCATTTATATCAGAACTGCCCTTCATTTTTAAGGAGTTTATTTTGCATTGGATTTCAAAGGGAAACAAGCTGATGGTAACTGAACTGACAGAAATTTTTTTCTTCAATTAGTAATGTGATACATAATAATTATGTATTGTAATTACTAGGCTGGATTTTCCTGCATTTCACAACACAATTTCATTTTTGGAAATTATTGTGTGTATCATATCTTGAATAGTTTCAATCTTTTTACCTTATTTTCCTACCACTCCCCTCCCCTCTGTTTCTGATCATCTTCCCAGTCCCCCAAAATATCTGCTTCTCTGCTCCTTACCTTCTCTCTTTTATTTTGTCCTTTTTTGTACTTGGGGTTTCTCTTGCAAAGGAAATCATGCAATATTTAACTTTCTGTTAAACTCATCAGAATCTCCCCTGTAGTGCCATACAAGGACGTTTACAGAGTATGTCCAATTTATTCTCAACTTGGGCTCAACACAGTCCCTTCCTCCTAATTAGTGCTCAGAACACAGAGAGGTAGTCTGTGCTTCCTAATTTCATGATTTCTGAAGATTCAAGAACTCATTTCCACTTTCTGTTCTTCCACAATTCTGAAATTATCCTCTGCCTGTTTCCTTCATTCTTACAGTTAGTAATGATGACAAGATAAGAGTTACACAGTGCTGGATTGTCCTGCATTTCACAACACAATGACCCACACATTTCACCTGTGCCATCTTATTAAAGGCTGAAAATGAGACTATGAGGTGATGTCTTTGAACAGATGTTCACAAAATGAGTTGCCCAGGAGGTGCTGGTCCAGCAGTTTGTCCAACTCTGTTGTACAGAAAAGGATAAGGTTTGCTTAATTATGAACTGTAATTCATAAACCGGGAGCAAAACTTAACAAATATTTATACCATTGCACTCAGGACCCATCACTGATTAATGCATCAAGTAGACAAATTCCTTGTACTGCAAATATATCAATATGTAGCTGTTGAGTATTTATATTTATCTGAAGAGGCTCATGAAACGGGATGTTATAGGTAAATATATAGAGGACTGGGAGAAGGAAGAAGGGAGGAGGGGACAGCACACACGTAAGAAATAAAAATAAGTTGGAAGAACGAGCTCCTCCATGCCTTTGTAAGCTTCTGCTGCCACTGAAGCAAATGGGGTTAAGAAATATGCCTTTTACTTTTTGGATGTTAGTTAAATAATTACATGTCAAATTACAGAAGAACTAGTGTCTATTAGTGGGCACCTTCCTGGTGACACCTTCTGCCACCACACTGTGATGGGAGGAAGATAAAGTGGGTGGGTGTGTACATCTCCCTTAGTTGCATTTTCTGAATAATGGGGATACTGGTGCCATACATTTTGTCATATTATTGTAGTAACTAAATGAACGAGGGTACTTTAAAATGCTTCGTGAAGTGTAAAACACTCTCCAAGGAAGATTATAATTAGCTTCATCATTCTTATTAACTGTACTAACTGCAAGCATTTGATTTCCCTTATTGGTTAATTCTAAAGAGGTCTGCTTCCACTTCATTTCTTCCTAGCATCTTAATAATTGCTATTTCGCTATCACATTAAAAAAAATTAAAAGAATCTCTCCAGGAACTAGATTCTAGGTTTTAAAAGCTTTTGCTTTCCCAAACTTTCAGGGAACCCAGCCTGCTCAGACACCTCTGCTCTTACTCCATGTAAAATCCTCCCCTCTCCTGTCCACAAATCCCTAGAGAGGTTCTCAGATCAGATATGATGAGCCACCACCAGCTTCCAATTCAATGGCAGCATTCACTGAGCAACCACAGAAACCTTTGAAGGCCTCATCTTCCAGGGTGCAGACTGCCTGACTGAAACTTCTCTGGCCCATTCCCTTTTAGACCACCTGTGCAGCTAGTGTTAAGCTGACCTGCTTGTCTGGACTAGAGTTACAACACACACTCACACACACACACACACACACACACACATCTGTGGCCATGTAGAGATTAAAATCATTGAATCCACTGGGAGCAGATGGACATGCTTAGCAAAAGAGTAGGATTGATGGCAGGAATTAGCGGAGAGCAGCGAGTGAATTAGTCAGCCATAGACAGCCAGATGCATAAAGCCTAAGAAGTAATGGCTTCTTGCATAGTTGTAAGTCATATAGTGCATAGCTGTGACTGTGCCACATAGGCAGGCTTCCCTGGAAGAGGGGATATCACTGTCATCACTTTTTTTCTTCTTTTTTTAAGGGTTTATTGGTTAGGTTTGATTTGGTGCAGGATCTCACTAC